TTCTTCTTCTTCTTCTTCTGCTTCTTCTTCTGCTTCTTCTGCTTCTTCTGCTTCTTCTGCTTCTTCTGCTTCTTTTTCTTCATCTATTGATTGTTATTTGTATTTAATGACTGAACTCACCACAATGGTCCCCAGTATATCCTTCATTACACCTACAGTAGGGCGTGCGGCCATCTAGAGAACATTCACCGTGAGCACACTCCCAGTCGTCACATGGGTTTTCCACAGCTTTGTCTGGGGAGGAAAAATATGGCTGTTTACTAGACTATCCATTTCCAGTATGTTGAATTTCTCTTCTGCCTGGTATGTCATATGAGAGAATGAGGAAATTGCAAGTGCTACCCACCCCCAAAGAAAGACAAAACAAAAATATAAAAAATAAACAAACACCTCAAGAGTAGCACTGAGGAAAAAGAAGAAAAATACTGCATTAAAAATGTTAAAAGCTCTGCACTGGCTTCTAATTTTTTTTTTAATATCCCTTTTCAAGTTTGTACCTTCTGTTATAAATGCCTCATCAATAATACTTCATCATATTATCATTACGTGTCTGTGTATTTAACTCAGTGTGTCCCATCCCGCCAGTTATGGTCATCCACAGACGCTACAAAATGCTGAGCCCCTCGAAAGGAAATTACGATGTTTTTGTGAGAGAATTTGTGTTTTGTTTCTTCGTTTGCAGTTTTTTAAAATTATTTGACTCCCTGCATGAGAACCTAAAAGAGTGCACAGATCCTAATACGTTGTAGCGTTTGTTTAAGTTGAAGACTCATTTGTGTAAGTTTTGGAGTGTGTTAGCAGGTGTTGATGTGTCTTGTGTTTCATGTTTTCTGGATGTGTATAAAATTGATACGTGGCTTAGAAAGTTGTTCCTTCTGCACTTGAAGTGGTTGTCATATCTGTATGAAATGTCTTACCTAGTGTGTATAAGATTTCACTCTCAGAATTCATATAATCGATGCAAAGCGTTCGAATAGCTTATACGTATTCGGAGATAGAGTGCTATATAGATATAATTTATTCTTTTCATAATATCCTTCTTCTTCTTCTTCTTCTTCTTCTTCTTCTTCTTCTTCTTCTTCTTCTTCT